TGTCAAATTTTAAAGAGAGAAGAATATAGGTAATATGTACTCATCAAAAGAATTTTGGGGAATAAAACATTAACTGTAATTTCTTTCTTTCTTTCTCTCTCTCTCTCTTTTTTTTTTGAGACAGTCTCACTGTGTTGCCCCAAGTTAGAGTGCTATGGTATCAGCCTAGTTCACAGCAACCTCAAACTCTTGGATTCAAGCAATTCTCCTGCCTCAGCCATCCAAGTAGCTGAGAATAGCCACCCTAATGCCTGGCTAATTTTTCTACTTTTGAGTAGAGAAGGTGTTTTACTCCTGCTCAGGCTGGTTTTGAATGCCCAAGCTCAAGCCATCCTCACGTCTCAGCCTCCCAGAGTGCTGGGATTATAGGGATGAGCCACTTGCACCTGGCCTGTTGTCTGTAATTTCAATTTTCTAATTATAAAACATGAAATGTGCGATCAGAAAGCAATAGGGTCTGTTGAATACAGCAACAACAACAACAAAGTCACTGGAAGAACTAGGAACAATTAGCCTGAACAGAAGATAATCCAATTTCCTTAAAAATTTCGAGAGTTATCCTATAGAAAATGAGGCATTCACCATTGCTCCAGACCAGAGGTGCACAACTCAAATCCACAAGGGCCAAGGAAGTTATATATGCAAGTACAGTAGGACAGGCTTAAGATAACAGGGTGAAGTAGAGACTGTGAACTAAAAACTGAATCACCTGTCTACAGTGAATAACCCCAATTCACTTCCAGTTAGGTAGAAAAACAAGTCCGAAGTTGCTAGAGCATCCATTTTTAAAGAAATGCTAGAAATCCAGATATTTTACTAGTTATCTTTTAAAATATATATATTGGCCACACACAGTGGCTCACGCCTGTAATCCTAGCACTCTGGGAGGCCAAGGCAGGTAGATTGTCTGAGTTCACGAGTTCGAGACCAGCCTGAGCCAGAGCGAGACCCCCATCTCTAAAAATAGCCAGGCATTGTGGTGGGCGCTCTACTAAGGGTGACAAAGTGAGATTCTGTCTCAAAAAAAAAAAAAGAAAGAAAGAAAACAAACAAAACCATATATATTTATTTTCTTTTTTCTTTATTAATTATTATGCATGCATAATAGTTGTATATCTTTTTTTTTTTTTTGAGATGTAGTCTCACTCTGCCACCCTGGCTAGAGTGCCATCGTATCATCATAGCTCATAGCAACCTCGAACTCCTGGGCTCAAGTGATCCTCCTACTTCAGATTTTCTATTTTTAGTAGAGACGAGGTTTTGCTATTGCTCAGGCTGGTCTTGAACTTCTGAGCTCAAGTAATCTGCTCACCTTGGCCTCCTAGATTAGGATTATAGGTGTGAGCCACTGTGCCAGGCCAATAGTTGTATATCTTTATAGTATGTGATGTATTAACATAGGCATACAATATGAATTAATAAAATTGGGGTAATTAGCATATCCACTGCCTCAGCGATTTAGTTATTTGAAGGTATCTCCTCATTTGAGAAAGAGTCTCACTATGTCACCCTCAGTAGAGTGCGGTGGCATCACAGCTCACAGTAACTTCAAACTCTTGGGCTTAAGTGATTCTCTTGCCTCAGCCTCCCAAGTAACTGGGACTACAGGTGCTTGCCACAATGCCTGGCTATTTTTGTTGTTGTTGTAGTTGTCATTGTTGTTTGGCAGGCCCAGGCTGGGTTCGAATCCACCAGCTCCGGTGTATGTGGCTGGCGCTCTAGCCACTGAGCTACAGGTGCCAAGTTGACTAACTTATTGTTGATTATAGACACTCTATTGTGCTGTTTGTCCACCCATTGACATACTCACTTCACGTACCCTTCCCCACTGCCCTTCCCAGACTCTGATAACTGTCCACATATAAGTGAGGACACATGAGATAACAGTTGTCAATTGTTAAATGTTGACAATTATAATTATTTCTTTTTCTTAGAGACAGGGTTTCACTCTGTCACCCAGATTGGAATGCAGTGGCACAGTCACAGCTCACTGCAATCTTGAACTTCTGGGCTCAAGCAATCCTCCTACCTCAGCCTCCTGACTAGCTGAGACTACAGGCAGGTGCCACCACACCTGGCTTATTTTTTAAATATTTTATAGAGATGGGATCCTACTATGTTGCCCAGGCTGATCTTGAACTCCTGAGCTCAAGCCACCCTTCTACCTTGGCCTCCCAAATTGGTAGGATTATGGGTTTGAGCCACCACACTCAGCTTATTGACAATTAATTAAAAATTAAAATGAGTTCAAAATGCATGCCAATCTCCTCCATCACAAAAAGCGCGGGGAATCCTTCAAACCCACTTGTCTGTAAGAATGAGGTATAGTTTCCAATTTCTTCTCTAGAGAATAGAACTAAGAGCAGCAAGTAAAGACACCAAGTGGCTTGCTTTGTCCTTGCCAGAGAGAACCACCACCTTGAGAGGCTGTGTATTACAAGAGAGGGATAACTGGACAGAGCCGAAGGGCTTTAGGTAGGTGGTTTGACTAAAATGATCTCTTAAGACACTTCTAACTCTACAACTATTTATTCAATGACTTCAGAAAAAAAAAATTCCCAGCAACAGACAGATAAACCAAAAAAAAATCCATTTCAAAAAGGCTCAGAACCCTAAATAAAGAAAAGTATCTGTTACCCAAAGACACACTATCTATAAGGGGGGGGGGGATTTAAACAGCAGGAAAATGGTTAAATAAATCATGATAGTATTTTATAAAACATTCAGCCTATTAAAAATGTCTACCAAGACTGTGTATGGAAAGGCACTTGGGAAAACTTTTGATCTCCCAAAATTTTTTTCCCATTAGAAAAAAGTTATATGATCACAGTTGCAGTAAAATAAAGCACTTGGGCAGGGAATAGAACAGTGTCCCATGTTAATAACGCCTGTGTGTGGGGACAAGAATTTGAAGAAAGCATGCTTCCTGTACCTTCTCAAGTTCTGGTATTAACAGTCACTGAAAACATCATGTAGCGTTTGCAAAGATGGGAGGAGATGGTGGGAATTTTGTAAACTCTTAATTTTTTATGTTCTGATATGAGAATAGATACAGATAGATAGGAGAAACCTTAAAATGTGTACATGCCTAACTCTCAGTTTTTGGTACTCTTTTGATTATGGGCTTTTTATAAGATACATTCAATGATTGGTTTTTAAAACCAAAATGCAGGCTGGGTATGGTGGTTCATGCCTGTAATCCTAGTACTCTGGGAGGCCAGAACGGGTGGATTGCTTGAGGTCAGGAGTTTGAGACCAGCCTGGGTAATAGCAAGACCCGAGCTCTACTAAAGATAGAAAAACAAGCTGGGCATTGTGGTGGGTGCCTACAGTACCAGCTACTCAGGAGGCTGAGGCAAGAGGATCGCTTGAGCCCAAGAGTGTGAGGTTGCTGTAAGCTATGGTGATGCCACTGATTTCTAGCCTGGGGCAACAGAACAAGACTCTGTCTCAAAAAAAAAAAATATATATATATATGTATATATTATATACACACATATATACATACATATATATTATATACACATATATATGTGTATATATTATATATATGTATGTATATATGTATACGTGTGTATATATATATATATATATGTATGTATATGGACTCACTTCAAATAATCCACCTAGAAGTACGTTTTCTTTTTTTTAGAGACAGAGTCTCACTTTATCGCCCTCAGAAGAGTGTCATGGCGTCACAGCTCACAGCAATCTCCAATGTCTGGGCTTAGGCGATTCTTTTGCCTCAGCCTCCCAAGTAGCTGGGACTATAGGCGCCTACCACAATGCCTGGCTATATTTTTGTTGTTGTTGCAGTTGGGCCGGGGCTGGGTTTGAACCTGCCACCCTTGGTATATGGGGCTGGCACCCTACCCACTGAGCCACAAGTGCCTTCCTGACTGGCCATTTTCTTTTCTTACTCTAAGCAATAAAAAATTGCTATATGAGAATCAGACCCATTTCATGTGGCATTATATTTTATACCAACGAACATGCCCTTAATAGTAATTATATATAGGTATGTTTTGCTTTAGTGACTGTGTTATCAAGTCTTTCTTTCTGCAGTAAGTAATCTAAATGCATCCAGTGGATCCGAATATATCAAGTGATTCTGAACCACAAACTGTTCTTTTAGACAGCTGCCAGTCTGTGTTATTATTCCTCTGCTTTGGACTCTCAGAGTTACACCTGTACAAATAAGTTTTCACATATAAACTTCCTGCAGATTAAGAATTATAAGAACTTGACATAGTTCGCTTTTTTATTTCCTATCAAAACTCTCTATTCTGAAAACTACCAAGAATTTATTGAAAGTGTGAAATGACTAAGAAAAATGACTCACTTGGAAAGTAATCCATCAGGTCCTGAAGGTTTCATGAGATATTTGTCCACTTCTTTGTTAAATAAATGATAGGGCAACTGCAGGTACTTGGTGACGTTATGGAGGTTTATGGCATACAGAGTTAAATCTCCTTCTTTATACCTTGGGCTAAAAGCAAATAGGTTAACTCAATAAATAAAAATATTATCTAATTTAAGCAACTAAAGACTCAATGACAAATGTGATCATGGATACTACGTTTTAGCATCCATAGTGATGAGGGGACCTCTTAGTACCTTTGTTTTTATGAAAGTATCAGACCACTCAAACATGATAAAAAACATCACTCTTCACACCACTGCTTTCTGGACTAGAGCACCCTGAGATCTTTGCTTCTTGTCTGGCTGAGTTGGTAGAAAGTTAAATGATAAAATACAAATTTTATGGGGTCATGTGAATTTCTTTCTTTCTTTCTTTTTTTTTTTTGAGATAGAGCCTCAAGCTGTTGCCCTGAGTAGAGTACAGTGGCATCACAGCTCACAGCAACCTCCAACTCCTGGGCTCAGGTGAGTCTCCTGCCTCCACTTCCCAAGTAATAGGATTACAGGCGCCTGCCACAAGGCCTGGCTATTTTCTTTTGGTTGCAGCCATCATTGTTGTTTGGCGGGCCCAGGCTGGATTAGAACTTGCCATCTCAAGTGTATGTGGCTGGCACCTTAGCTGCTTGAGCCACAGGCACTGAGCCAGGGTCCTGTGAATTTCAAATTATAAACTATATTAACAGGGGCTTTTCCTCGCCTTATAAAAAGACCAAAACAAATAAGAAAATTAAATCTATTGACACTTTTTAGAATTTATCCATTCAAGCTATCTCCCCACTAATTCCTACAGGGTGTGTTCATTATCCATAGAGCTCCTAGTCTCCAGAAATGGGCAATGTCAGTGGGTTATTTGGGCTAGAATTAGTATGTTAGTATCATCCTATCAGGAATGAGAGATTAATACTAAAAAGAAGAGAAAAACCCTGAGGTTTAGAAACCTTCTTTGCTCCCTAAAGAAAGAGTAGGAGGTTACAAAAATCTCTATGGCATCTCAACTCCAGAAATCGTGGCTGCAACTTTTGAGGATATTATTGTTGGTGGTGTTTTCCTTCTTCTTTCAATTCTTCTTCCTTATTAAATTTGTCAGCTATGATGCGAGGAGATAAGTCTATTATATTGATTCACATTTATATTCACCTATAGTCCTTCAATGAATTCATTGTTCATATAAAAATAGTAACATTTTCTTACATTTATACCATTTATTAAAATTCAAGGAATATTTCCATTATAGATTCTGGCAATCGAAATCATTGTGTAAATCTTTGCTGGTCTGCAAATACTTTTATTTAAGCAACATTTTTTTAGTTAGATTTGACATCATACATACATATACCTATGAACACAAAAAACAGAACAGAAAAAAAAAGAACACAGACACATCTTAAACCCACTGTACACATGTAGATACCGGGCAAGAGAGTTTTTGAGTAGGAAGCTTCGTGCTTTAACAATTAAAGCTTGCTGATTGGTAAAGGCCAGGCTTCATGCTTACCTTTGGTTGATGTTTGTGCAGTGAAGGTATACTCGAAGTTTATTTCCAACTGGACCTTTCACACTTGCAATTAACACATGGGTGCCCACCAATTTCTTGAACAGAAGAGATAGCCAATAATCCTAGTTGTGATGGTTGGGGAGAGGAGGAACAAAAATGGATCATTACGTGTTTTGTTTATTAAGAAAATCAGTGCTAAGCAAGTAGTTACCCTAGAAAGAGTGTGATTGTTATCCCAGGGGTATTTAAATATGATTTGTCCTTTTTGGGGTGGGGATACATGTGACCACTATAAATCTGAGGGCAATGTTTTGTTTGATGCTTTTTCTCACTGGAAGACTCTATGCCCATAATTCAGAGGGCCATAGCCACTATGAGATACATTTCAAGAATGCTATCCATTGATCAGACAAGAGAGTTTAAATATTCTTGGCTATTTTATATCCAAGAATTCAAAGCAAAGCTCAAAGCCAAACTTTTAGACATACATCCACAGATAAATGAAGATAAGTAGTATTGAAAGGCAATTTCATTTAAAACTCTATAGCCTTCCTAATAAAGTAATGGATTAGTAATGATCGTCACTAGCTGTCAAGGTCAGAAAGAGACAATCAGATATTATGTTTTTCCTAATGGATGCACACAACATCATTTGTGGATAATTCTTGCAAAAAATTAAACATCTAAAAACTTGAATAAGCTCAAGCTTCTTGGTACATGACTACCAGTTTACAGGAAATACAGGTGATAGGGGAACATGCTAAATGATGTTATGGGAAAAATTTATCAAAATCCAGAATGTGGAAAGCACCATAGAACAAATTACCTGATTTCCTTAGTAAATTACAAGAGACAGAAGAATGTGGGGAGGAACTTAAATAAGAATAGATTAAGAGACATATCAAGGAAATGCAATGTATGGGCCACGTTTGGATTCTGATTTGAATAAACCAAAAATCAACAATATTTTATTTTTATTCATTTATTTTTTGAGACGGAGTCTCAAGCTGTCACCCCAGGTAGAATACCATGGTGTTACAGCTCACAGCAACCTCAACCTCTTGGGCTTAAGTGATTCTGTTGCCTTAGCCTCCCAAGTAGCTGGGACTACAGGTGCCCGCCACAACACCTGGCTATTTTTTTTGGTTGCAGTTGTCCTTGTTGTTTTAGCTGGCTCAGGCCAGGTTTAGACCCACCAGCCTGGGTGTTTGTGGCCGGGACCCTTCCCACTGAGCTACGGGAGCCAACCCTATCAACAATATTTTAAAAAAGAAAGAAAACATAAAACACTAAATAATTTGATGATCCTGAGGAATTACTATTAATAATTTAAAGTATGATAATAGTATTGTGCTAATGTTTTTACAAAGGAGATACATACTAAAATATTTATAGATAAAATAATATATCTGACATTTGATTCAGAGTAATCCCATAAGTAGGAGATGAGGAGTGGGGAGGATTATGAATTATACAAGATTGAGGCATACAGAGGGGAAAAATTAATCTTCCCTCTACTCTAAGGTCTTAGCTAGGATGGAGCTCTGTAATAAAAGACAGAAAACAAGAATAAGACAAACAGAAGTTTATTAACACGAATATTTCATATATGCATGAGAGATAACCAGGAAATGAGTAATTCTCAAAGGAGTGGCTTAGGACTATGGTTTCTATTCAACATCATCAACAAAGAACAGTATATTTTTAGACAAGTGACAAGATAAGGGGAAGGATTTCGAGTGTATAAGGGGTTGGATTGGGGGAGGCATAATAAATGAGTTGGTGATGTAGATTCCCTGGTGCCATCTCCAGACTGTGAAGGGTTTAAAGTGTCTTCAGCCACTAACCTCAGTTCTGCCAGGTAGGGAGGGGAGGAGTGACTGTAAATTTATGTCCTGCTTTTTAGGGAAATGGGGGAAAGACCGAGAGCTTTCCGTGTGCCTGCTTCTTCTCAATTGCTTTCAGTTCAAAATAATCCTTATGCCAAAGTGGGATAGTTTGGGGAAGTATATTCTTGTCTCCTACACCCCGGTGGTTTCCTTGTACTTTGTATATGATTGAAGTTTTCTATAACAAAATTTTTGTTTGTTTGTGTTTTTAGAGACAGAGTCTCACTCTGTTGCCCCAGCCTAGAGTGCCATCAGCTTAATTTACAGCAACCTCAAACTCCTGGGCTGAAGCGATCTTCCTGCCTCAGCTTCCCAAGGAGTTGGGACTATGGGCACCTGCCACCATGCCCGGCTAGTTTTTCTATTTTTAGTAGAGATGGGGTCACACTCTGGCTCTCCCTGTTGCTCTTATCAGGCTGGTCTCAAATTCCTGAGCTCAAGCAATCCTCCTGCCTCGGCCTTCCTGAGTGCTAGAATTACAGGTGTGAGTCACCTCTCCCAGCCACAAAAGTTTTCCTTAAAATCTTACTTGGTATATATCCCAGCCCTCCTTTTTAAGTAGAGGGAAAATAGATTCAATAGGACAAATAGCGTTTGTTTCTTTGCTTAAATTCAAATTTTTCACTGGAGACAAGACTGGAATCAATCAGGCATCCTCAAACTACGGCCCAAGGGCACATGTGGCCACTGAGGACATTAATCCAGCCTGCCAGGTGTTTTTGCCACCGCTGCCTGTCCTGCTTAGCAGCCGACTCGTCCCGGGGCCCGCAGTCCAGCCCTCCAACAGTCTGAGGGATAGTGAACTGGCTCCCTGTTTAAAAAGTTTGAGGACCCCTGAATTAAATGTTTTCAAAGGAGACATAACTTTAGCATAGTTCAGTAAATGGTAATTGAGGCTGGAAAGCATGCTGGCCTCAGAGGCAGGATTTGAGTGGGATTCTTTGGAGTAATACAGGACTACAGTGTGGCTTCCAGTGAATCATACAACCTCTTCTCAATTTGAACTCCTCATCTGAAAAATGGATCTAAGATGCCTGCCCTGCCACCTCACAGGACTGTCATGCAAATTCAGTGAGAACTCAGACATGTACAGTGTGGGGTTAAGGCCAATTCTCTTGGATCCTATAGGTGTCAAGGGTACCATTTACTCTTGCAAGTTTTCCCAGCTGCCTGAGAACCTTGAGGAAGAAGCATATTTAGTGAACATACAACGTGTTCTTAAGCCAAAGGTTTATGTTTGGGCCTTGGGAAGATTTGGGTAACATGATATTTACTGGTGCTATTTTTAGAGTGACAGGATAAGCTAGCTAATTTTTATACATAGTACTCAAATTGAATTTTACAAAATAATTTATCTTCCTTGTCCATCTAAGAAAAGGCCAGGGGTATATTTTGAACATTTGTCTAATGGTTTAACTCACAGATGACTAAAATACTTGGGGAAAGATACATTTCATTTTTTGGAAGCTCACTTTATTTTTAAGATTAAATCAGTTGGGTGTGTTAGCTTACGCCTGTAATCCTAGCACTCTGGGAAGCAAAGGTGGATGGATTGCCTGAACTCACAGGTTTGAGACCAGCCTGAGCAAGAGTGAGACCCCATCTCTAAAAATAGCCGGGCATTGTGATGGGTGCCTGTGGTGCCAGCTACTCGGGAGGCTGAGACAAGAGGATCACTTAAGCCCAAGAGTTTGAGATTGCTGTGAGCTTTGATGCCATGGTACTCTGAGGGTGACAAAGTGAGACCATCTTAAAAAAAAAAAAAAGATTAAATCATTTTTATTGAATCATTTCCCTACCCCTCCATTGCTGATCTTTCTTGGTACTTTTCTCATTTTATATCCAAAGCCAAAGCATATTCCCAACTCTTGATTCCTTTTAAATTTGAAGGCAAATTTCAAAACACACAAATGTAAGTTGTGACCCACATTTCATTACAAATTCTTTCAACATGGCGTTTCTTTATGATTGGGAGCTAAAATAATCTTCCATATTCGTGAGTATTTGTATATACATTAACATACATATGTAAAAATGTTTATGTCACATATCATTATTTTAATAAGTTTAATTGCTTTTATAAATCCTTTTAAAATGTCCTCACAATTTTAGTTTGTAATTTTATTGATGTTTGTTCACAAAGCATTGATCCCTAAAATATTTTCTGTTTCGTTCGAGTTAATCAAGAGCAGGGCTTATATTCTCTGTGGGACCAAGTGACCTCAGTTGTAGAACAAGTTAACTTTTCTAAGAATTTTCTTTTTTTTTCTCATTCAGCATCTGCATGAGATTTTCTAAGAATTTTGTAAAATAAACATGAATAGTATGCTCCACAAGCTTAGACCAGTACAGATAAAAAGGAATTTTGTTGGAATTTCTTTTGTTCAGGCTGGTCCCATGAACTCCAGATCTCAAGTGATCCTCCCTTCTCGGCCTCCAATAGGCTAGGATTACTGGATTGAGCCACTATGCCCGGCCAAGAACAATATTTCTAAAACAATTCATTCTTACAAGAATTAATTTGGGACACCTGTCAGAGACACCCACAAACCACAAAAGCCCAGCTTGTATTTTGGCATATGCTCTTTGGAAAATGTCTTAGCTTTCCTACAACATTTAAATAATCCCTTTAGGAACTATTTTTAGAAAATAGATATTCAAAAATGCCATTTTAGATTACAAAAATCAAGGTCATACTTCTTGAGGCTACATCTATTATTATCTCAGTGTTTAGATATATATATCTTCCAACTGGCTTTTTGGATAGAAAGGCTACATTCCTGATTTAGCACCAGATCCACTTGGAGGTAGAGTGAAAATGAGACTTTGGAGATTATTAACAGAATAGTCAATTCTAAGGCTGAAACTTAACAAATACACAGAACTGGCTAATGTAAAAGTTAAAAAATTATGACATCATAACATAAAAAGAGTTTAGAAGCTTTGGATACCGTAAGCAATTTTAACTTTGATTTACTTTGCAAAACATTTTTAATCCAAATTTGTTATCTTTTAAAATGAGTCATAAAATTTCAAATTATCCCTTAAAAAAAATACACCCCAAATGGCCCACATTTAAAAAGTTACTCCGGCCTCTTGACTTCTTCTCTTGAGACAAAGAAACATTAGAATGGATAATCTTCGCTTCCTTCCAACTCATCCTCATGTGATCTAGCTACTTACTGAGAGGATCGACTGTTCCAGGAGGTTTATGCCAAGGCCCCTGAGTACATGTTAGTCTAGAAATAGGAAAATAACGGTCACTCACAGGTAAAGGTTCGAAGTTTTCATCCACTAAGTGGTAGTTTCCGGCTCCAAACAACACTTGCCTCATCACCACTTCTATGCCCATCCGGGCTGACAGGCCCAGTTTATCCAGCCACCTGCAACACAGTGAGACCGAGCTTTTTTCAGGTTTGGAAACAAAAATCACTGAGTTGTAATTACATACTATCCTGCTTTATTCCTCTAAGTGGGAAGAATTAACAGGAAGCCAGAAGAGTGGCGTTAATTATGACCAAGTCACAGCGACTGCCAGTAGCAGCACAATCCCTCCCCCTCGTCTTCCCACCCGTCAGCATGATAACCAATCCCAGGGGACTGTCGGTCAGAGGAGTCCCTGGCTGGGTAAGAGGACTTCCACAACGCAGAGCAGACACATCCCCTCCCCTATGGACAATTCCTCCCCCTTCTGTCTTCTGCGCCCACCCCCAACAACCTCCGCAGGGTGAGGGCTGAAGGGAAGGTTGTGGTCAGCAGCGGTGGATGTGAAATAAGCAGAATCATACTGGAACTATCCTGAATACCTCTCTCCCCATCCTCCTCTGCCCTCCCTAACCTAAAGTTTTAGTTAACTGTGAAACAAACATCTCCATTCTTTTCACTACTGCTCGTGCCCCTGGGAGCATAAAAGATTTTTGCTTTATTCTGGGATTATAAGAATGAGGATGGAAGAAGAAAGAGAAGAAAACCCCTCAAGGTGAGGATACTGAACTGTTGGTGACCGGAGCCACTGCTGTAAGTAAACCAGGAGTTCCAAGCAATCAAGTTTGTGCTACTGGAGAGTGAGGTGACTTAGTAAATCTTTAAATTCACTGATGGCCCCTAGGTGTGACCCCACACTTCAGGCTCTAAACTTCTTGGGAATCTATGAATATAGTTA